ACTATTATTTATGATGAGGAATTGAATTGTTTAGGTTGACTTTTACAGATATTTATTAGTTTAAATTAAATCGAGGTTCCACCAAGCATGTTATTTATTGCTTAAACAATCCCTGCCTTATGAATCATAATGCCCTTTAATTCATTAATATTAAATACGTTCGAGGAAACGGTACGCTGGAAGTAATTGTAATTTTAAATACATGAAAAATAAATTTACTACGGTATTTAATATATTTATTATTTATACATATTTTTTAATGGTAGTTATTTCCGTAAATATATTTTTGACGCGAAGTTTAATAACGAGTGCAGCGTAGTCAAGGTAATGAAACGTTAAATTGAAAAAATGAGTTATTTCTATGGCAGCCTTAGGATAATCCGCACGAAAGGAATATTTTTTAAAACGTAACAGTACATGCGATTGCCAGCTTTTTTTTCCAACAGGTGCACAGGTAGATTGTAAACTTTTACACGTACGCACACACACACACACACACGTCTCTCTCTCTCTCTCTCTCTCTCTCTCTCTCTCTCTCTTACGTAAATACGTACATACTTATACAAACGCGCCGGTCCATATATGTCTGTGCACATCTATATAGTTTATATAGATGGGTGTATAAAATTTACGGAAAATTGTTGTGCATCTAAGAGAAAGGGATACTTTTATATTAATATTTATGGCGAGGATAGAGTAATTTACGTTACAGCAATAAAAAATTCACAACAATTACCTAATGGACATATTATATTAAGACTTGGGAAAGAGGAGTGGTCTATGGTGTCAGGTAACGCAGGCGCGAAATAAGATAATTAAGCCTCGCCGCTGAAAACTTTTCCACGAAGTATACAGAAATTGCCGATAATGGGCGGGAGTCGAGAGGACAAAAACTGGGAACCGTCAATTCGCACTCGACTTTCGTAGGATTTTTCATCCTCCCCGCGATCCTCGGAGTCAGATAAAGCCGAAGGAAGAGAGCATACTCAACTCGTTTCCTCGATTCCAGTTTTTCCTCTCGCTCTCTCATTACCGCGACTGATTTTCACGTCGCGGACGTAACGGCCCGAGTTAATGCCGTTAATGGGATGGCGACTCTACCGGCGATTTATTCCCGTCTAATAATTATTGGGTAATTTTCACGGCAACGCGCCCCACCCAGACCCCAACCCCTACCACTCGAGTTCAATTAATCTTCATTTTTACCGACTCACCTCCGAATGCTAATGAATTTATCTTTATTCCTCAGAGGCTTATCTCGATCATTCGATCGCGCGACAATAAATTGGAGTGGCCACTCCGGAGACCACGAATAATTAATCTCGTTGGTCGTTGGGCCGTGGACGCGTAATTTCGCGAACCTGAAACCGGAGAAATTTAACGAGACGATTTTTCTCTACGACCACGTGGTAGGCGAAGAGAATTCTTATTTGCCGAATACGCCGATTCGCGCACATGTTGCACATTGGGCTCATTACATTATGATTGACGAACAATTTATAATTATGTTGCGTTACGGGAATGGGAAATCCTCCATCCTACTTGCTTCCTCAATGACAAGTCGATATTAAGCGAAAGCACCGAAATAATTGCAGATCATTCGGCGCCGATAAGGAAGCGACGATTGATTTTTCAATTAAATTATTACGGAAACTCTCCTTTAAGCCCTAGTCGAACGTATACTCGCACAGCTCATGTTAATAGCAGATGTTAACGTAGTTTTATTAATTGAGGAAAAATTAAATCGCACGAAATGTCGCAATGACGGATTATCATTGGGCAATGCGAATTGTCCACTTGGATCGACAAAATCACGACAAAAATCAGTACTTCGCGAGTAAAGGAAGCTCCTCCGAGTTTGCTGGTAAGCGACAACGACGGGTCTACACTCTCGATACCCTATTCCAATCTCCTTCCCCTGCCCTTGGCTCTTGGCCGGTCTACTGTCTCCGTGGCTTACAGCCGGCCGAACCCGTACGAGATCCCGGGGTCTCTCGACCTCGCATCCGTAGCAATCAACGCCATGGATGCTAATCATAAGTCGAACAGCAAGGTATCTTGGGATCGAGCCTATGGCCGATTGAAGGGCGCAAGGGGCCGAGACGATCATTGGGCACATTAACCATCTCCGTACTCGCCCTCTAAATTTACGAGGGAGCCCCGAGCGGGGTCTCACCTCTGGCCTCTCGTTCTTACGGGGCCAGTCCTCGCCGACGATGCGCCCCGGACGCGATCCCAAGTGACACTTGGTAGGAAAGGCGCGGCGGAACGGCCCACGTCGGCTCCCACGTTCGCCCCTGTGCCCACGTGCACCACACGCACTCTCTCACTCTCTCACTCTTTCTCTCTTCCTCCAGATCTCACGCGCAAATGGATATGTGTTTACACGCACGTATCTATGCATACACGCACGCCTTTATATATATATATATATATATATATATATATATATATATATATACTCCTGTAATATTTCGCGCCTTTTCTCCAACGCTTTGTTCACTTTACTCCTGCCGATCGTCTTCTCGCCTGTTCCCTCTTTATCTTTGGGCCTATATCTCCCTTTTCTCGTAAGTCGTCATTCTCCTCCCACCTTCGTTGCTCCTCTTGCTTTCTCTTTCCGTCTGTCTCCCTCCCTCTCCCTCCCTCACACGCACACACACACACACACACACACACACACACACGCACTCTCTCTCTCTCTCTCTCTCTCTCTACCCATTATCTTCCGCGCTACTCATCTACTATTTCTATCGCGCCTTTTCTCTCTCTTTCGATCCATCCCACTATATTTATCTACTATATCGCATCATAACTCTGTCTCGTCTTCTTTCTTTTCTGCCCGTATTTCATATCGCACTCCCGCGTCCTCTTTCAGTTATTTTATTTCTATTATCTCCAGTTTATCATGTTCTCTCGTTCTCATTTTTTTTATTCCACTTGTTGCAATACTTTTTCGATTATGTATCAACGCACACAACTACACACGTGCACTACTCTCTCTCTCTCTCTCTCTCGTTATCTATCTATCTATCTATCTATCTATCTATCTATACACCTAACTATCTCTGAACTCAGTTGATATTTTGTATTCATTACCATGTACCCTTAATCTATCCTATCTTAATGCCATTTTCTGGTTTTTATTTGCTCCGCTGCTCTCTAAATTTCATTTCTTTTATTTCACGCACTCCATTAACATAGCCGAAAATCGTACCTCAACAAAATCTGTTCGGCTCTAATTTTACTTTCCTTTAACTATTTTGTCCTCCATCGCCTAGCACATCTCATTGTACGTCTATGAACTTATCTCTCATCGTATTTCTAATTTCCCGTTCTACAAATGAGCACTCTTTTAAGGAAAAATTCCATACATTAGCTCGTAAAGTTATTATCCGCCAAAATAGAAATTTACAATTAGCTGCCGCTTATTAAGGCTGCCTTTAAATTAACGGTAAAGCTGCTTGTACTCGATTTCTCGTAAATACACACGAGCTGAAGTTTCAATAATAACCATCGGTAAGCTCGTAATTATCCTTATAATTTTTTTTTTTTCTTTAAGAGCATAAGGGAGCGAGTAATTCCTTGAGACCGGATTACGCTTCTTACGTTCATAATCCAAACGAGCGCCTGAGAATATGAGCGTCGCCCCACAATTCGTTCTCTCAACGTATCGCACCAATACACATGGACCTCCCTTTATCGATGCGAATATCTTATCTCCTGCCAAGGACCTCTCCTCCATAATCTCTCTGGCTGTACTCATTTTCGTTCATCGGCGCCTCGCTCGTCGCCTCTCCATCAAACCAACGCCCGGCGCCTCGCTCGTCGCCTCTCCATCAAACCAACGTCTCTCTCTCTATCTCACTCTCTATCTCACTCTCTCTCTCTCTATCTCACTCACTCTCTCTCTCTCTATCTCACTCTCTCACGCTCACTCACTCTCACTCCCTCTCTACGGTCTATGGGACTGGTTTCATTCATTCGTAGGACGTACACCTCCTCAGCTTCCATTCATCGTCGAGTCGACCAAATATCTTGGTCGTGAACGATGACCGGCGTTACATAAGCACTGCGTGCTCTCACTTCCCCATTGCTCGAGTGCGAATAGGTTCTATCAAATATCTTTCATAATTCACGAGTACCTGGCGAAAGTAAAAAATTCCGAGTGCTCTTTGCCCCTTTTTACCCTCCACCACGACAATCGGCTTGACGAAATACTAGCAAAAAAATTACGCTCCGTACATCTCGGACTTTATTTTCGCTGCCTCAATTATAACAAACGGCGCCGTCAATTAAAATAGCCGAACAAACTCTATCGACCCGATATCTTTGAAATCTCCATCGCCTTTCCCAATAATTATAATACATGACTCCTGCATTTTTAAAACTACAGTCGGACAACGAAGCAGCTCGCTTGCGAATTAATCATCGGGAGTAACGACGTGCAGATTTCGATGGCTTGACGTAACGCCACGACGAGCCCTCGACTTTCTTCCGAAAATCTAAAAGACTGCGAACTTCCTGCACTAATGGGCAATCCCCTTGATAATTATCTACGTTGTGCCAAACGCCATGGACGATTGAGTGGAAAATTGATACCCTCACCCGTAGGCAGCTAATCAAAGCGTCAATTATCTCGAAAGATATTTAAAAATTATTGGATAAATGATGAAAATGAGGAGAATGAGGCGACTTCGCGCGCGATCCACAGCGCAAAAAGTCCAGCAGCAAATGCGATTAGCGCTGGGATCGAGTTTTTCGCGGGAGCTCGAGGACACAACAACGGCGATTATTGACACGCTCTACGACGAGTTTGGCATCAAGCGGCTGTAGCAGTCGCGTGATGGCCGAGGAGGCCCCGACCTGACGGTAAATTGATACGTAATTACAGCAGGAGGCTGATCTAGGATACTCGAGCCTCGTTACTCGAAGGCAAATTACCCGAGGGATCGGCTGCTCGCGCAGTCATTGCCGATCACCGGTCGGAGTTCACTCACCGTTGACGTAGACCTCGGCATTGACGAGGGTCTCCTCGTCGTCGGTGTCCGGGCCCAGTGAGACCGGCGTGTAGACCAACGAGTCTCTGGATCTCATCTCGGTCGGCCCCGATACGACCTGCGGACAGAGAAAATACCGGTGACGTCGCTCCACCAACTGCCTAGGGGATGGCGGGGGAAGCGGCGAGCGGGATATCGAGTGGAATAGCGAAGCGGGTTGCGGCGAGGGGTCGGGGTGGGAAGAGGAGTAGGCTGTAGTAAAGGACAAGGCGTAGCCGCCGACTTTCTTTTTCGGACGGCGCATAACGCCTTTATGCAACGGCCGCCGAAACTCGTTGAATCACGCACTTCCGCGACTATGTAGCGCGTCACCGGTTGTGAAACGCTCGGGTGCCCCGCTGTCGGGAAGGCTGGAAAAGGAAAATGCGCAACGTACGAGAGAGCGACGAGAGAGCGACGAGAGAGCGACGAGAGAGCGACGAGAGATTCGATGATAATATGATTTTCGAGTGGCGCCCAACCGTTGGCCATTCTTATTCATTGATTGGTTTGTCCGGGATCCCGTTGCCCTCGCGAATCGGAAATCAATCGGATCTTATGTATGCATTCGGCCATATTATATTACATCTCGCCGTCATAATTGCGCAACTCGGCGATAATTGATACGTTATTTTTTCCAATTTATTTAGTCCGGCTCACGCAGTCGCCCGATTATACGCTAATTGAAAAAGCTTTTAGAAATTATTAATTTGATTATTAATTTGCATTATTCATAACGTTCAGCGCATGACGTTTGGGCCTCTATTTTGGTTATCGTTGAATCTAGTAAGAGCAAATATGGTGAACAGCGCAATGCTTTCCCATAAGTTTCTTCAATATATATGTAGATTAACTTGATCTGGCAATAATTGATCGAAACGAAATTATCACGAATACATTAAGGATAATTTCCTTATTCCCAATAAATGTATTATACATGTTTAAACTTTTTTTTTCTTCTGTCCGAGCGTGCGTGTGCGTTTATGCGCGCGGCGATTCCGTGCATGCACCAGCGTGATGAAAGATGATCACGATATTTATATTAGATACAATTTTATCGAGATTACGGTGAATGATGATAATTATTGGTGCCATTAGGCTTGAGATCGATTAGTGTCAGGACTATGGCATTGCGAGTATGGCAATATAAAGGGCCGATTGGGTTAAGGCGCACGCGCGATCGCTATCGGACGTAAATATACTTACTAGAGATTGGGTAAAAGCTCGTTTAGCCGGGCTAGACGAGCCTACGTTCTTCGTCTATAATCTCCCCTGTGGCATTTGATCACGGGTAGAGGGCAGACGAGTTTTGCCGGTGCACATTTCCATTAAGCCGAATGGTATGCCGAATGTAATAATCGTCAAACTCGTCGGCTAATTACTAGAGCCACGTGGATCGAAAGTCTTTGTCGCTTTGCGTGAAAGGAACGAGGCATTCGCCCTTGCGAGCCGAGTCGAGCCCAACGAGCCCCAGGAACCCTTGGAATGATAAGTCGCCACGGTCTGCTCGGGTACGGAAGCTGAGCGACCGCCAACTCAAGCGACCCCATGACGAGCTGGGTGGCGATCGCTCGGCGTCGTCTCCTTAACCATCGGACGGGCCGTAAAAGGGAGGATCCCCCGGGGCGTCGCGTCGCTCTCGTGACTCAGAACTCCAAATATAGTGCGATCGCGCGCGGTAAACCGCTGCTAGCCGATTTTCGCGCTGACGGGGCTCCCCTACGTATCGACCGAGGCTCGCCGAGCTTCGACGACACGGCTAGGCGGCGCTGTTACCCGGGCCCGTATCGTTCCGCTGGAGCTTTCCAGGACGGTTGCGCATTCGCCTGGGAAAATGGTTCGCGGCCACGAACTTTTTGCTTCCAGATGTGCGCGCAGCGACGCGCGCGGCGCCCTTGGGTTTTTCCCGACCGGGCGGAAGCGCCGACACTAAGTGGGAGACGATTGATTCGCCCGGTTAGCGATTTTCGAGATTTATGTGGTAGCGCAATACGTGATTAATTACGATCAATCAATTAATCAATTAATTACGTCCGAATGCGTGATCATCCGAGCTTTGGCGTTCGGTCAGTCCGATTATGTAGTGGGCCGAATGAGGGACTCGAGGCGATTAGACTGACATGGAGCATAAAATTTTTGTCGACGCGTCAATTGTCAATTGTTACGCGCGTTCGAGATTCAGCTCTTAGCGACTCGTTTGCCATTGGAGTCGAAGCGACAACAGACGCGCGACTTAAAATCCATCGTATTGTTGTTAATGTCGTGTGCAAGATATCCTGGCATTGGGGAATAGTTGTGTGGTAGGTGGTGTCGGGAACAGGAGCGCCGACGAGTCCAAGCGTTTGGAAAGAACGAAAACTCTTCGTGCATAATTCGCCCTTGCGGGTCATGCTGACCGACACATTGAAAACGAGCGAAACGTCTCGTTTAATCTGCAAACGTATCTGGGCGACCTACTTTCCTTCCACACTATATCGATATAATTAAATGCGCGACGTAATTCGTTAAATTAAATGTTTACGATTTCGGACGCTGGACGCTTAAAATATATCCGAGCCGACGTGTACGGCACTTGCCAAATAATGCCATTAAATCGAGTGTCACGAGACTCGTAATGATATGGGGGACGAATTTTAAAATACAGACAGGCGTGCGGATGTTTCGTTTTTTGTTTTGTTTGGTTTTGTTTTGTTTTGTTTTTTTTTGTTTTTTTTTTTTTTTACACAAGATAGAGTAGAGGACTAAGCGTCGATCGTAACTTTCGGCGAATGCGACCGGCAAATCGGATAAGCTTGGGAAAGGCTAACTCGGCGCAGTCCCAATATCAATTCGAATTCATAAATTAACCGAACGCTAATCGATCATGCGCGTCGTAGGATACGCGTAGGAGATACGTAGGAGATACGTAGGAGATACGTAGGAGATACGTAGGAGATACGTAGGAGATACGTAGGAGACACGTAGGAGACACGTAAAAGACACGTAAAAGACACGTAAAAGACACGTACGAGACACATACGAGATGTGTAGAAATGTGGATCCATAGATAAAAATAAGAAATGCTCGTGAAAACGAAACCGCGGAGGCGAATGTTAATCATCGGATTGGAGAAGGAAAAGTAGCTTTGCGAGCGTCCGATTGTCAACGATGTGATATCGAGTTCGCTATTAATGTCAGTTAAAGTGCATCGGTATCGGTGGTCCCGCATCGGTCACCGGCTGCTTCAGAAATAGGAAGCTGGATTATTTCCGAGTAGGTAGTTGCGCATTCGAGCTTATTTTAAGGCCGAGAATCATCAATTTCCTCAAGCCCGACGCGCCTGTCCAATAAGCGCAAAATAAGGGTCGGCGTTCGCGCTATCGTTTCTATTTGCGCCAACGCGCGCTGGACCGAGCGTCAAAAAAGTCCAAGATCAAGTCCCAACAGTCATATTTATTCGAAAGGCATCGTCGTTAAACTTAAAGCATTGAGCGAGAAAGAGCGTATCGCGATGTGGTGCGATGTGGTGCGAGTCGCCCAGTGACCGCCAAAGAGTCGCGCGCCAGCCTCCCGACGACACGGTAACGCACCGCCATACGCTTATAAATAGCCCCATCCCCCGTAGGAGCGAGCCCATCCGAGGATTCGCACCTCGTCTAAATCCAGCTGAATGAATGGACTCGGGCGACGTCCTGCGCTCGCGAGATCCGTCGATATCCCCGGCAGAAATAGCCGGCGCGCACTTGAAAAGCGGACTTCCACGCCGCCCTCTGCCCTTCCCTTACCAACACCCGGACCGTTGTCGCTGGCTTATCTATTTCCGGCCAGACGACCCGTGAGAAAGCGTCCAGGGGTGTCTGGCGCGAGTCGGAAGTCCCAGCCGATTTATTAATAGGTGCGACGATCGGGGTGAAATGCCGGCGATACTAATGGATTGCGCGGACCGGCTAAACGCTTCGACCAATTTGCCGTTAATGAAGGGTACCCGTGTCTCGGCGGTGGTCGGCTAGAGAGTGAAGAGAGATGCGAATGAGATTGAGAATAAAACAGGCCAGTTGGATTACCATTAGTCTACGTCCTTCCTCGCTTCTCCAGGACTCCGTCCAATACCTCGCGAATTTCGACGCGTTGGCCTTATGATAAATCGAGTAGCTGGTCGACCTTGACAAGTTGTTGTTTAATTGCATTGGTAATCAGGCCTTTGGTAAAAGTTATCATACTGTAATTGCCTCCCTCCGACGCGACTTTCCACCCGCCTCGAGTGCATTGCATAACGAACGCGCGTACGAAAAAATCTATTGGCCCGAAATTTGGCGTTTTCCAGGAAGACGCTGTACGATGGCGATCGTGGCCAATGGAGGCGAATGTGAGTTCATTAGCGTGACGAATAACGCTTAATCGCCCCCTCGCGATCTAATGATGAGATCGACGCGGATGATCGTCGATAAAAATTGATGAGAAATCGATGGCGGGCGAAGAAACGTGCCGCTCGCGAGATCCACGAGGGATCGCTAATTACTGCGATACGTGGAAACGGAGTGGATCGATGGTAGGGATTCCCGTCCACCACGAGGTTTATGATAATCTTATCCCGTCGATGTCGTCGTGCCGTCCACGAGGGTTGCGAGCGCCAAGGAGAGGACATAGGTTTATTCTTAGGCGCGTTCTCCCACTCCGAAAGACTCGTCTCTTTCCTTTTCGCCCCTTATTCACGAGCGAGCGCACGTCGCCCTGCTGGCGACTCTTTTTCTCTTTCTCGGGCGCGTTTCTCCGGAGTGTCGAGGGGCGCACTCTTTTTGCACCGTCTCTTTTTCTGGCTGGCTTTATTTTTTCCTCGCGCGTCTTTGCTCGCGACGATTGCCGCGCGCCGCATCATCATTCTCTTGTTTGGACACCTTTTTTCCTTTCGACCCTCGCGAGAACGAGAAGGAAATGCGCCAAGGGCCGAGACACATGCGCAAGTGACCTGGTGAGGCTGGAAATTTGGAAATAGAACGTACGACGAGCACGAGGGGTGAACTTTTTTTCATTATAAAACCGCTCTGTCTTTTCTCGTGCTAAAAAGAGCGAGATGAATAAGTTTCGAG